GTCTGCCAAGAGTGTCTTCCGATTGTGGGAGAATTCGATTTTTCTATCATTTCCATTATCCCTCGACTTTCTCGTAGACACATGTCCAACTTGTTTGAAAATAAAATGCTAATCACGAACTTGGAAAGTGTCTGATATGTAATCCGAATTGGAAATGTCTCCATGCTAATTAAATAATACATTTAGTACGTATATGTATTATCGATACCGGCTATAAACCCAACTTGCTGACAGTTACAAAAAAAGTGATCTATCCTTGAGTTTAATACCAATTTTATTGGAATTTTCTCATCATATTAATTTGGGCATTGTGCAATAAGGTCAAAAGCGAATTGAGAAGTCAGCATTGGGATTTTCAAATTCAGTACCCTACTGTATTATATTTATTAGCTTTTACCTGCGGCTTCGCACCCGTGGTATGATGATAAAAAATAACCTATGTGTTAATCCAGGGTGTCACCTATCTACATACCACAATCAAATCGGTCCAGCCGTTTTTGCGTGACAGAAAAATAAGCATACATTCTGTCAAACTCACAAATTATAATATTAGTGGGATCGAATGGAACAGGCAAATCATCTAACACGTCTTCGTATCTATGCTAAATTATAAGTTAATAAAAAGTACCAACATAATTCATTATTTTTCGTAAATATGGTCATACAACACACAGTAGGTAATTTCTAACTCTTATTAGTTGCAATTCAGCTGTAAGTAGGACAAAACTTAATTGTCCATGATCACATTTCACGTGTGATCGCGTCACTGGACTGCGATCTGATGCAAACTGGCCTACTTCCAGATTTAGAAGTCCAGCCATATATGAACAATGGAAGTTTTAATATCTAATCTAAGTTCTATTACAACCACAGAAGACATATTTTCAGTCGTTATGATATTAAAATGGTCGCTTTATAACTACATAAGCCGTGATGAAGGGCGGACAGGTCAGGTTGTCCTTTTGTGAGCATTTTTTATCAACCTGTCAGTGGAAGGCAAAAGAGATGGATTTTTGCTATTCTGGGATATAAATAGAGGTTGGTTTTTGGAAGATTTATGCGTTTTTTTAACTGCGAATTTAGGGTCAAATCGTCCTCGTGCTTTAACCATTAGGTATTGTATTTTTTTTTTTGGAAATTCAAAACTCGGTTTCTCTTTTATATGATTCCTAGAGTGGCCTGTGTGTGAGTCAGCGAGACACCATATAATAAGCTATGAAAGCGCTTGCACTGTGTACCTAAGCACTCAGTCTCAATCTAATTATAGCTAGTCGAAGTTGGTACCTAAATCATTTAAGTGCGCAGTGAATTTTTAGACAAATTCAATCTCTTAAGATGCTAGGCATGTGCCAGACAGTCTGAGACCAAGGCTAAGGTTGCGAAAACCTTAAGGGGGATAGCATAAGGTTTAAAAAAGTGGTTTTAGTGAACCGCATACCAGTCTAGTCGGATGGGTGTCGGCGGGGTAAGAAGGGTGGAGTGGGGGGGTGAAGAGATCGATCGTTCGTCCGCCCGCTCTCGCCCTTGACCCTCGCCTGCATCAGGGTGGGCTGTCTGTATGTGTGCGTGTGGGGTGTCAGCAGATTTCATGCGGTGAATATTTGAAGCGAATACTGGCTGCGTCCACATGTACTGAGTAGGTATACATACTGAATCAGGAACGTGTGCAGGCTCTGGAATCGACTTTCCTATTAGAATATCATGGAATATTCACAGTTCGAGCTGAATATTGAATTACTTAGCTTGCTCTGAAAACGTAGGTCGTTGGCATTTGAACCTCTAAAATCGACCTTACTGCTTGGTTATAGAGGTTCACTCCATCCACCCTTAATGATCATTAGCATTGACTATACATTTTGCTTATCATCGATCTTTACTGTGATGTATTTGTAGTTATATTTCGGTCGACTGATTTATACTGAGAGGAAGGGACGGACGATATTATACCAGTCGCTAATTAAAACTACGGATACTCGATGTAAATGGTTACTTATATACTTTTAAGCAAACGTGACTTTAAATTCATGATCGACTTTATTCATTGTAAATAATTTAACCTAAGCAGAAAATTTGGGGTGACAGCTCACATACTCAGATCGGGACATTTTCCATGTACTTACTTATCAAATTCGCTTACCTAATTGATGAAAAAAATATTCTCTCCAAACTGTGAGGTCTGTGGAGTTGTAGGAGAAACACACCATTTGTTGATAGAATGTGTCCTGCTTGGATGAGGCTGGATAAAGTTCGGGGCTTTAAAATTCAATAAGTAAAAACAATATTGGTACATTCCACCATATATTAAGTAAGCCGACTTCTGATGAGGCGAGAATGTTGTTCGACTTTGTGATCCTTGTCCATTGATCTCAAGCACTAATATTGTAAACTTGTCTTAGCGTACTATGGGACTAACATACGCTGTGCGTTATAAAAGACCCTAAATTTTTAAAGAATAAAAAAAAGACTATAGGCATACAACATTGAACTATAATAAGTATGGGTCCGCGTATTTTATGAAATATCCAACAAACCAGTCGTTTGATGAAGAATTGCAATTCGTTTCAATAATTAAATAGCCATCTCACCCTATACTACGCCTTTTGTGGAACTTAATATAAGTAGACATAAATCTCATAAGAGTGACAGACTGAACGGATTTAAAACCTACAGTATTCTGTAAAGTTATCGTATATTTGCATATGACCACTGCAGATGGATTAAACATCGAATACGTCCATTCGCTCCCTGGACATTTCGCCCCCACTATCGGCACTCGTAACCCCATCTGCGGCCAACCGGACCCTCACCCCTATACCTAACTCCGTATGGAACGACCAGAGTTTGTCCTCTTAAAATAATATGTAAATTATCAGCATTTTAACAACAGCTGTCAGTTTTATTTATTTATTTGTTAACCCACTCTCTCCCGTAATATTATCTCATATTATTTGAATTGTTATTAGGGGCTGGATACCTACCGATCGATTGAATAATTCAACAGAAGTGATTGACCTTTCTGCAAATAACTCTGTTTGATATTGAGAGTAACAACGCGAACCCAGCGAGTACATAAGCACGCGAGACGATCGATAGTAACGACGCCAACGTCCTATAAATAAAATTTACCCAGTGCCATCATTAGAGAACATTAAACTTTGTTGGCAAGGGAAATGAACGCATTCTGCCTTAGGCCCAGTGCGCTGCCAACGCTTTCATCACTTTCAAAATTCGAACAGTGCAATGCAACGCGCGGCCGCCGCACCCGTGACGTCACACACGCATCACACGAAGCGAACACGCGGTGGGTGTGTCCATCTAATTATAAACCGAGTATTTTAGGATTTCGACTACACATTGCTCTAGGTCAGCTATTATAAACTACACGCTATCCCACGTAGGGATGTGACGTGATCTCCATCTTATTTGTAAACTATCGACCGAAATAACCCGGCCCAACTTCATTGACGGCTGGCAGAATCAACGCGCGACCATGGCCGTCAACAAATAATAAAAATATTCCAAAACCACGTAATCAGTTTAGAAAACTAATTCTTAAATGATTAAATTAAAAACATAATTTCATTGGTATGGAAATTAATTCATCGATATATCACTCGGTCGGAGAAGTCGACGGGGAAATCTGTACCTATGTATTACATCAATAAATATTTTTTATCGAAATCGTAAAGAACTATTAGAAATCGATCTACGTGTAATGAAACGATTAATCGTCACGTGTTATAACATTGATTTTAGAATTGAGCTGTTACGAAATAAAAATAATAATAAAAATGATTATCAGTCTCGATAAAGATAAATACTTAATAATTCGGATTAAGATAAGAGTTTATCTAGGTAATTATTAGAATTGTCTTATCAAATTAGAATTGAAAAACAAGGGCCTTGAACTCTGGACGGGCCGTACCCGTAGCGCGCCGTCTCGAGGGCCAAAATTGCAGATACATAGGCATGTAGTTACAAATTGTTATTCTATTAATTTACCTAGTGTACGGATTTTACCATTGCAAGGAGGAGTTCTAATAATAAATGCTATAATTGCGTTGTTCGAGTTTATTATCCTGTTGATAGCCTGCAAAACTAATAGGTGCGGTTTTCCCTGTTCCAATAAAGTTGCGGCTGCCTCGCCCATGTTCCTACAATATTCCATTAGTGATATTAATGCAGCACGAATATTGCTTTGTTCGCTAGAAGTACTAATTACTCCAATTAGGTAGACTGTATGGCTAATAGCTAGTTACTAGGGAGGGACTGATTTATGTTAGCTCTATCTTCAAACACGTACAAACGATTAATCGTATATCTACGATTTCTTTGAAATAATCGTAATGCGGTCGTGAATTCCGTAATCGTAATCGATAAACATTAATCTTTTTAAACTGTGGAATTTGTCACGATAACTAGCGCGCTATCATGTTGTTTCCATACAATAGTAAACTCTAAATATAGTCCAATCGATATCACTTTGATTAGTAATGTAATGAAACATATATGTATTATATAATATAGCAGCCATGATAGAGTGGCGGACGTCAGGTTCCGTTACCGCACATATGAACTAAAATATGTAAAATAGCACGGTCAATGACTAGCAGTTGCAGTTAGAAACTCCAGTAAAGCTGTAAACGGTCTGCGAGAATAGCAGAATCGTGTCAATATGACTGTCATAAACGGTACTCTTTCGCTGACGATACTAAATAATTGGTAATGAGATGAAAGGATAGAAAGCAAGAAAAATGCAGATTTATACCGGTATATAAATTATCTTTTATTACAAATGTTCAGGTTAGTAACGATTTATAAATAAATAAAAATCTTTGTCAAAAATACGAAATCGACAATGTTCCGCATTCATTATTACGTAATATGCATATTACGATACCTTACAGCCTATTTTAAATACTGAACTTAAATAAAAGATCACAAGCGTAATTTGAGCCGCCCATTCAGGGGCTTGGTGTAGGGCATCATAACTTAGGAATAGTCTTACTTGCCGCTTAGAAGCACTTCCTGTGGACGATGGAGGGGCCAGACTCATCGTACTCCTGTTTCGAGATCCACATCTGTTGGAAGGTCGAGAGGGAAGCCAGGATAGATCCACCGATCCATACGGAGTATTTCCTTTCAGGGGGAGCGATGATCTTGATCTTCATTGTGGATGGGGCCAGAGCAGTGATCTCCTTCTGCATACGGTCAGCAATACCAGGGTACATGGTGGTACCTCCGGACAGGACTGTGTTGGCGTACAAGTCCTTACGGATGTCGACGTCGCACTTCATGATGGAGTTGTAAGTGGTTTCGTGGATGCCGTTGGCTTCCATACCCAAGAATGAGGGCTGGAAGAGAGCCTCAGGGCAACGGAAACGTTCGTTTCCGATGGTGATGACCTGACCGTCGGGAAGTTCATATGACTTCTCTAGGGAGCTGCTGGAGGCAGCGGTGGCCATCTCCTGCTCGAAGTCGAGCGCAACGTAGCAGAGCTTCTCCTTGATGTCACGTACGATTTCACGCTCGGCCGTGGTGGTGAAGGAGTAGCCACGCTCGGTGAGGATCTTCATCAGGTAGTCTGTGAGGTCGCGACCGGCCAAGTCCAGACGCAGGATGGCGTGGGGGAGGGCGTAACCCTCGTAGATGGGCACCGTGTGGGAGACACCGTCACCGGAGTCCAGCACGATACCGGTGGTACGACCGGACGCGTACAGCGACAGCACGGCCTGGATGGCGACGTACATGGCGGGCGTGTTGAAGGTCTCGAACATGATCTGTGTCATCTTCTCTCTGCGAAACAAACGGAACGGTCAGCTGCCTGTCACTGAGACGGGGAGTCAATCTATTCCAGAGTTCGAGTCTTTAAATGTATGCAAGTGCTGGCGCACTGGACGAGACACCTACCTGTTGGCCTTGGGGTTGAGGGGGGCCTCCGTGAGCAGCACGGGGTGCTCCTCGGGCGCCACACGGAGCTCGTTGTAGAAGGTGTGGTGCCAGATCTTCTCCATATCGTCCCAGTTGGTGACGATACCGTGCTCGATGGGGTACTTGAGGGTGAGGATACCTCTCTTGCTCTGGGCCTCGTCACCTACGTACGAGTCCTTCTGTCCCATGCCGACCATGACACCCTGGTGGCGTGGCCTGCCCACGATCGAGGGGAACACAGCGCGAGGCGCGTCATCGCCCGCGAATCCGGCCTTGCACATACCGGAGCCATTGTCTACTACCAACGCAGCAACTTCCTCGTCGCACATTTTGAATTAGTCTGAAATTAAAATAATTTCTTTTTAATCTTTGCTTGCTGCTACTTTACGGTGTACCGGCTTCCTAATCCAGCTGTAGTAACTGACAGCCACCGACAATAATTCTATCAAAACTCAACGGTTAACGATTAGGTAAGCGCTATCTTGCACAACAGCCACGCCTTGAGCCAACTCACTGATAAAAGGACTATCTGATTCGCCTATCTCTCTATCACAAGAATTCTGGAAGATACTGTAAAGCACTTTTCACAATTCATTTCTAATATTTATTATTCCTAAGACACGATACCTTCGACAAATAACAGTATATCGAGCACGCTATTTCTATGAAAGATGTTAGATTAATAAAATTTACTAAAGAATGATGAAGAAAACAGGATGCGAAATATCTTAATACCACAACATCCCGCTGGGATTCGAACCCAGATGACCTCAAGCTCAGTAGACGGTCGACGACACAAAACCGAAGAGGTTATTAAAATTCACATAATCCAAAAAGCACTTCACTAGCGTTACGTAAAAATGTTATGTAACATAATCCACAGGTGTGTTTATGTAAAATATTAAACACTGACTCTAAACGCTTCAATATTTTATGTAAAAAACTTTAAATAATATACGAATAAAGTTCACAATTAAATGAATATAATATAACAAAACTTACTGTTAAATATTAAGTTAATGACTAGGTACGACTCGTGCTGCTTCGGTCAAGCACACCTCACTAAATGAGAACCGGCTCTTGAGGATAAACTATATAAAACGCGCCTTATCAGAGTTCACGTACTATCGGCAACAATTTATTTTCCGCCAATCACGAGCTGCCTGATGCTGCCTCAATTTTTGTCACCATATATGGTAACGCACTCGGTTCTATCCACAATCTGGTGATAACGATACGCTTTGATAACGATTATAATAGGTTTACACGTTATCTGAGCCAGTGTGACTATAGAGTACGTGTAGCAGTACAGTGTAGCCCGGCAGTAACTCACACTCGCTCAGGGTCACCAATACGCTTCTTTAAAATACTGAAATTTCTCTTCAGTCCGCACACGTACTTTCTCTATGATTCAGCTGTTTTGCGCTAATTGCCGTAAACGTCTAACATTAACCTACAAATATTTAATTAGTTTAATATTCCGCTGTTGAAAATAACTAATTATAATTATGAAAAGAGCAGAAAGCATTACTAACTGACGTAAAAGATGAGAGATATCTTTATTCTAGTCGGATGTTACAGTGGCTGCACGAACGCACTGCGAAAATATATCGTCCGAGGGTACTGTACTTACTGCTAGACAGATCGACCAGTGGACGCGGGCCCGAAACAAACGACCAGCCGCGACTCAGTCGACAGAAACAAATGCAAGTATTTGTTGTTGAACAAACGCGTAGGTGGTGTCATTTCGGAGCCAAACCAGATCTATGATGCCGCTATGACACATCTATAAGACACGTGGATAGTGTAAACGTGACGTGACATCGATTACATTCATAGTAGATAGTGATTAGAAGCTAATAGCTTTAAAGTCGCTAGGCGTTAAACATTCGGCGTCGAGTGCTGCGGAGGTAGATATAAATCAATAGAGGTTCGAGACACCCTTGTTGATGTTTCCTAATATACGTATAATATAATATTGTGCAGTCGTCTGCGTGTATTGATTTTACTCCCGCCCACCGTCTCTGCGGCCCTCGCCCTCCGGTGCACCGCCGCATGGGGTGCGCCATGGGGTTGCATGAATCATCCGACTGCACCCTCCGTCTCTTCTTTAAATTGTTCAATTTGCTGTATTTGCGAATACAACTGCTATTACTCGCAGATTCTAGGCATTCATTTATATGCGTCATTCCAAATGTGGATACTTTTAAATATAATATCAATTGTAATTACAGCAATCGAATGGTGCTATATTAGATAAAAGTCCAAGGCTATGCATATCTAGGCATAACAATTTCTTGAATATTTACATTAACTAAGTCTGGCAGAGTCGCCATGCTATTTCAGACGTTATGTAGAGCGGTCACTTAAAATTTGAGCGTTACTGAAGTTGGTAATCCGGAACATTTTCGGAGTCACCTTGGTATGTGCCTTATTTGTACCATTGTGTTATTTATTAATTTACCGTACAAGGTTTGAGTAGTACCTACTGCTTTTTGAAATAAAGGGAACTTACCTGTAACTACATATAGCCTCTAGCACACGCGTCATACGGCATATAATTTCAGGGAATTAAAAACGCAATATTTATGAGTAATATTCAAACTCGTTGAATTATTTGATTGTATACTTTCTTGTTTCTATAGAAAGTTATATTTATAGTAATAATATACATTAGTAGGTATATCTATGTCGATATTTTAGAGCCTAGGTACCGGTAACGGTAGTACCTATATGTGGAACTACATATATTAATGTTAAGATCTGTATGCACCATGTACTAGGAAATAAATGATATTCTATTCTTCATAGTATTTATCCTTCCAAAACGGTTTGTATAGTAGGCATGTTTGTTGTTTATGGAATTTGTTCAGATGACTTCATTATTAGAGGAAAATAGCTATAAATAAAACAAGAAACATCCTGAACATTACATGTTAAAATATGTATTACCTTGTGGCAATGTCACATTAAATCAAAATGTACTTTAAAATCGTGTGTCGTGCGATTTGAATGGACCTTGGTGAGCCCTTCGGTGACTCATTGATTTCTCACAAGCGTTTGACAGAGTGAGTCATGTGCTTTACGATGTAATCGAATCAGATGACGATTCGTCTCGATAGTTTTGATCATCTATTTCATTCGTGACGTCACTGTTATGGGTACAATGATGTGATCGTTAAAACTCGTGTTTATACATACATAAGTACTGTGTTTTATCGATTGTCTTTTAGCGTGCGGCGTAATTAAACAAGAATTTTTGTTATATCTGTGGCTATCGTGATGCCTTTCGCTATTTTATGCGTTGATAAATATTAAATTGTATACTTCACACAATCGTCTATCGTCTATAGGTTTCATAATTTCCAAGGTCGATTTCCGTTAACATTAGCTAGAACGCTTGAAACTCTCTGAAGCGAGATGTGCTTCAAAAGCTTTAGGATTTTGTGAAGTAGGTTAAAAGCAGCAAGGAGGCCGGCTTCCGTCCACTTTTGACATACTTCAAAGCGATGAGTTGCCCTGTTATACTTGTAAGTGTACATGTAGAGGGCGCTTCTTCACTATACTAAAATTACTGGAGCGATATTAATTCGACTTTCACTTTTAAAGGAGACCGGTTCATCTTGTCTGCTTAACTCAGAACTATTTGAAATATGGTAATTATTATTACTTATTTGTCTAGCGATAACATCATTTTTGTTTTCTTGAAGAATAAAGTTTTGGTTTATTAATAAAACACAAAGCTTCATCGGTTAAAACAACATAATATTAATTAACGACAATAATAAAATGAATATCTTGTTTTAATTACGATGGTCGTAATTAATCCGAATGGGGTTTTGTGTGCAAACAGGAAACTAACTATAAATCAAATAACTATTGAACTAAAATTAATGTTTTCCTTAGAACAGTATCGGGAGCTCGAGTATTTATGAACCTATTTTTCAAAAGTTTAGTTATGGTCACTCGTCGAATGTTCGTTATTTTAAAATCGCCTGTAAGTCAGTAGCAATAAGGTTGAACTGTGCAAACGTTGATGACTATTCTTACCTATATATCAACAGGAAAAATTAATAAAAGTAATTGGAAACCATGCCTTAATATGAATCACTGAAATTCTTGCTGGTCGATGACACGTGTTCTTGCTGAGACATTAATTATTCAAAAATTATTCATAACCACTTGAAATTTCTGACCTTACCATAAAGAAAATATTACATACTAAACCACATAGAATTTAATTGACAGACATTAAAATGTTTTTTTTTTTGTTAACGAGTATGCATATGGTGTTCAATGCCATGGACTTATTTACGTCAAAAATATTCGTTTTTATCATGATTTCGTACATCTTCCTACTAATTTAATAAATGTTTTTTTTAACGTAAGCGTTACTGAAAGAATATGAAAGATATTTCGCTTAGAGATAGATAAAGCCCGGAATAAACATCACAACGGCTGCTTTTTACCCTGATACTATGAAATCGCAGGCAGAATCTAGCACCTAATGAAAATTAAATATTATCATTATTTGCATATATAGAAAAGTATGCAAGTTTCTCGAATTTCCCCTTATAGAATAAAAACCTCTTGGATCAATTACAAATCTTCACACTAACCCCATCCTACGTACTACCTACCTATTAAAAAAACGCTATACAGCCAGACAGTTTCCGCAGACTACCCCCGCCCTTAGAACATGCAAGTGGACTCCTTTGACTCCGATGCTGAAATATTGATTGTGCTGTCAAAACCTTATTTGGTTCATAGTATGTGCGTCTGCCTGTACTCTAATTTGAGTTTAATTATTGAAATGCATTCGTATTTTTGCTATGATTTTAGGATTTAAAAAGAAAATTAGTCACTGGATTTCGACCCGTGTTTTGAATTTCGAACAGAAAGACTAATGTTTTTACAGTCGGTAGGTATTCTAGCTAGTTGGTATATATACTTATATCATATTCTTTTTCGCTTTCAAATTCAGAATATTTAATTATTACTTCTCCATACGCCTCACATTTTCGAAGAATTCTCTAATTCACTACTTACATCATTTTATTATTTCAAATTAATAATAATTCGGATTAATTCCCTTTTAATTATCACAGGGTGACTTACAAACTTCAAGTGAAGCATAATGATAGAAACAAAATTACCTATTTCAAGTACGAATCAATAATACCTGGTACGGATATCGAAGTAATTGGTTTCTGCAAATCGGAATTCAGTGAATAATGATATAATTAGTAACAAAACACCTACATTTTCCTCCTTATATTATAGAACCTAAGTCTTGTTTTATCGCCAAGCCAAGTTTCGATCTCAATTCACTA